ATTCTATTCTATTCTATTCTATTCTATTCTATTCTATTCTATTCTATTCTATTCTATTCTTAATTATGACAGATGCAATAAGGCCAAATGATGGTACAGTTACTGATTTGTATTATATTTTATTTGTATTTATATTGAAAAAATTGTTTTCAACCATAGGCTTTAACAAAATAGGAATAATATGATTTACTGCTTCTGCTGTTTTTGGAATAACCATACTGATATAAGATAGGGATAGAGAAAGATAATAATTTGTTTCCTTGACTTATATCATTTGTTTCATACAAGAACTCAAGGCAACATAAATAATGCTCCACCCTCCCATTTTTCCCCACAACATCCCTGTGAGGTAGGTTAGATGAAGAGAGAACTTCTGGCCCCAAAAATACGAGTTAGCAAATGACAGTTTTAAATTCTGAGATTTAATTCCCACTATATGGCAAGCAAATCAAAGATAGCCTTTAAAAATTCCTGATTTCACCAGCAAATATTTGACACTGGGAGATGGATCTGATTGACAGCAAGAAAAGCAAGTGCTGTGATTCAGGAAGACAGACATCTGGCAGAAGAGAAGTTGACGATTCATTGTAGTTTATTTCAGACTCTTGTAACCTAGAATTGAAGCTGCCAATCGAGTATTTCACACCTATGCATAACTGCCATGGTGTGTTTTTTTTAAAGAGACTTATTTAAGGGCAGGATAAAATCAAACAAAATTAATCAGCAAAATTGAGCCAACTTGGTAAACTTGTAGAAATATCAACTGAAGATGCATACTCTCTAATTTCCCCTGTAATAAGAATAGACATTTCCTGCTAATTTTTGTAAGGAGAAAATAATGGAAATTTAGGGATTTAGTGTAGTGGTTGAAGGCACTAGACTGGAAGCCAGGAGTCAATGAGCTCTAATCCTGCCTTAGGCCCAAAGGTAGCAGGGTGACACTGAACTGGTCACTCTCTGTAGGAGAAAGGCAAAAAATATATAGCCAAGAAATCTATGGTAGCCAATAATCAATTGAACACCCAAAGAGACACACAAACATACACAGTACTTTAAGCACACTGAGATCTCTAGATGTTATATTTCAGAAGAATCAGTTCCTTAAAAGCAATAATAAACACCTGTTACTTCATATGCTTCAGCCAAAATATTCCCAGTAAAATAAATAATCTTTATTTTTGAACAAACACAACTTATAAAACGCTGCCTTGTGATGACAGCAACACCTCTGATAGCCTGCAGAAAACTACCAGTGTGAAAAGTCATTACAGAAGTTCTTTCAGATAAGAAGCTGTCCAAAAGTAGAGTATTTTCTGACAGTTGAATTTTATTTCATGGAACAGAGTGGCTTATAGTGCTATTGACAGATCTGCAGGCACCTTTTAATGTTGAGAAACAGCTAATATAAAAAGGAAGCTTGGTTGCACTTTGCTATGCTTTTACAGACAAGAGAATAACAGAAAATCTGGTAATGCTCTAAATGCTAGAGAACATTGGACATTAATAGCCATGCTTATTTGTACCCATGGCTGAGGATGCTGGCTTTGCTAAAACCAGTTCCTTACTAGCCTCTTTATGGCTGCATGTATCTCACTGTTCCTCAGGCTGTAGATGAAAGGATTGAGCATAGGAGTGACTACTGTATAGAAGATTGATGCCACTCTCAGCCTCAAACCAGAATAGGAAGATGATGGGCGGAGGTAGGTGCCTATCACCGTGCCATAGAACAAAGCCATGGTGGTGAAATGGGCACTGCAAGTGGAGAAAGCTTTGTACTTTTTGGCCTTAGATGGAAGCTTCACCACCTTCAGGACAATGAAGACATAAGAGAAAAGAATGAGAAGCAGAGGCCCAAGGACAATTGCTGTCCCTTCGCTGACAAGAAGCTTATCAACGATGGAGATGTCCGAACAAGTGATTTTCAATAAAGGGTGGACGTCACAGAAAAAATGGGGGATTTCTCGGGAAGCACAGAAGGTAAAATTAGATACCAACAGGATGTATAACAAGGCATGGGAATGAGCCAGGAGCCAGCAGCCAGCAGCTAACAGAAGGCAGCACTTGAAGCTCATGACTCTGGAGTAGTGCAAGGGGTGGCAGATGGCTACATAGCGGTCATATGCCATGGAGGCCAGGAGAAAGTTATCTGTGGCAGCAAAACTCACAAAAAAATACATCTGTGTCAGGCAACCAATATAGGATATTGCTTTTGTTTGGGTCGCTAAGTTGTATAGCAATTTAGGTATTGCAGCCGAACTAAATCCAAGGTCAGCCAGTGACAAGTGACAGAGGAAGAAATACATGGGAGCGTGGAGGAGATTGGTACTGGAGAAGATCAGCAAGATTATCAAGAGGTTTCCTAGGAGACAAAGCAGGTACATACAGAGGAAGAGGGGAAAGAGAACCCCTTGGTGGTCTGGTGAAGAGGAGAAACCCAGGAGGATGAATCCAGCAGAGATGGTTTGATTCTTCTCTTCTGCGTTCATCATGTAGCTCAGGCATTTAGGATCCAATTCTGGTCTGCTTCTCTGCTCTGTATTTCAGCTGGATCCAAAAATACTAAACTAGTTTGAGAGGAAGAAATATATTTACAGCTGTTAAAAATATTCATAGGAATTTCTCTTGTGACCGACATACAGCTTATTTTAATTTGCATTCCAACAACTGAAAAAGCCACTCTCTTCAAATAGGGTCATTAATCTCTGCATAATTCTCTCCTCTTTCACTTTTTCCAAGAAACTGAGAATCTTTTTGATAGGCTAGGGCTAGTTTTGTTTGTTTTCAGATAGATGGTGGAATGTACAATGATAAATTACTTATGAGTGTTAAAATAGGGGAAAGGACAGTAAAAGAAAAAGTTCTGGCAATTGGACTGATCCGTTAAGGGTGTTATTTTAAAAAATGACAAAAGGGCTCCACAATTCCTTTGCCAGTAACCCAGTTTCTTCTTCCTATGAAATGGTAACTACTGTAGTTAAGCTGAAATGGCTTAATTTAGGAGAATACAGCAGACTATCTTCTTCTGTGCAGAACATTTATCCATCTCACCCATTACTGTGTACATTAACAGGCAGGCACCAAACCCATATTTTTCAGGCACACTTTTTTTTGCCTCTGTCAAAGTTTAAAGGCTGCTTTTGTGACATATTATGTGCAAGTTTCCAATAAGCAATAGCCCTTTTAATTATGTCATTTTTCTCTCAGACTGTTTCCCCATTTTGTCTACACTCTGAACAAAGAGATAACAATCCTTTTCCAACTCAAAGTCTCATTCTCCATGCTTCTTTTTCACCAGTACCTCTGTTATACCACCCCATATGTATCTCCTCATTTGCAAAAAGGCGGTTTGCATGGGGATAATAGAACCACAACAATGACAGAGAGAAGAACTATGTAACAGCATTTTTCTATGGTTCATTCAGATGCAATGTGCTGAGAATGCACTGAGTTCAAAGAATGGGATAGCAAGGTGTGCACAGTTATATGTTGTTATATATACAGACACAAAGGAAAGGGGGGAATAAAGCTGAATAAAGCACTAAGAAGATCATATCCTTTGCTCATAATATATCATTGGATACTCTACCATCTCTCTACTGGAACCAGAAGTTTTGGTGTTTTCATTAAAAATGGAACTCTTTCATTATGCCATCGTTCACCGTCTTTGCGGTGTAACCTCTTCCTTCCTGAAGCAGAAGTGCTTTGGCAATGGCATAAATAGAACCCTTATTGTAATTAGATGAAGATAATTCAGCTTCATTGTGCTCCCCAAGGAAAGGAAGTACAAGTTGCAAGGACATTCTTCAGGGAGCTTGTTAATCAAAAATAAAATTTGCAGCAGGAATACTCAACAATCTAAAATTGGCCAGTTGTAGATGCCGAGTATAACTTGTTTAAAAAACCAAATAATACTTTATTGGAATAAACAGTATTTCTCACAATGTGTTGGATCTCCAGAAATCTACTTCCCAGTGGCAAATGTCACTGGTTGCAGTGTGCAGTCTTATGTTATGTTATGTTACAGTAAAGTTATGACCCAGAGTAGACCTTGCTTTTTCTCATTTGATAGGCATGGGTTATCAATATCTATGGCTATATTGCAAAAAGTCTTATGACCTCCTTATGACTCAATTCCCCTTGAAGGCCATTCTCAGGTTGTAACTCAACAGGATTTACTTCCACTTATCTGTTGATCTCTGTTTTATTTCTATTGCATTTTCTGTGTAGAATGATGTTTTATCAGGGAACAAAGAGAATAAGTTGGAAACTACTCCTGGGGACTCTGATGTTCCCTTCCATGTCCAAATTACATGCTGAAATAGGGAGAAAGCTGATAAATAATGTCTCAAATCTGAAAAATCATTACAATTTGGGGGGGAGGATTTGGGGGATACCATCTCTCTTAACTACACAGAAACGTGTTGTAAAATCAATCCTGGCATGAATTCTGGACTCACAACACTTGCACAAAGAGCAGGTGGCAGTCGTTGTTAAGAGAGCCTTTGCACAACTTTGGGTTGTGCACCTGTTACAGTCTTTTCTGGATTAAGAATGTCTGCACCCAGTCGTTCACACCCCAGTCGTCTCACGATTGGACTTTTGTAATGTGCTCTACATGAGGCTACCTTGAAGAGCATTCAGAAGCTATAGCTGGTGCAGAATGTGGCAGCATGGGCAGTTATTGAGGCCCAAAGAATGTCCCATGTAACACCACTACACCATGAGCTACATTTTGCTTCTGAGTGTAATTCAAGGTATTGGTTATCCTCTTTAAAGTCCTTCATGGCATGGGTCCAGTTACTTGAGGGACCAATTTATCTCACTAGAGTTGGTCCACTCCACTTGTTCCAGCAGGGGAGGCATGCTGTGAGCCCCATTGTCCCAAGTATTCTGACTGGCGGGGTCCAGGAGAAGGGCCTTCTCTGTCATTGCACCTGCCCTCTGGAATATCTTGCTCCTTGAGAAAAGGTTGACTCCAACCCTCTCAACCTTCCATAAGAGCCTAACCACCTGACTCTGACAGTTAGCTCAAGACTCCAATGGGAGAGCATCACAATGGAAGTGGTTGGTAGATTAACAACAGATCCCACCTACTAGATTACTCATGATAAGAGCAGTGAAATGTCAATATTTCTCCAGTCTTTTTGTGTCTGCCAATAGCCATCCAGCCACCCTGTGTTGCTTGAGGAAGGGTGGGCCACAGGGTCATCTGAAGGGCTACTGTGAGGAATATTTTAGCTACTTGGGTTATAATAAGTAATGCAGATCCACTCAGAGGTGGACTTCAGCTAGGAAGCTCCAGAAAAAAAAATCTAGGTCTTGCATTGTAATCTGGGATGAGTTTGAATTGAATGCTGGTGAGTCTTCAGGAAGTGGGCAGTATTCTCCAAGCTGTCTACATCTAGGTCCCTTCCAGGTTGTTGAGACCACTCAAGAGGTGTCCTGCAGTTGGGTCCATGCTGTGGAGTTGGCCTGTTTTGGGGATTGAGTAATGTCTTTAGCCTTGAAGGAGGAGGCAATGAGACTGGAACTAACAATTATTTATAATTATTGTCATGTCTTCAACTTTCCATTTAAAAATGGAACCTTCTTTGTTATTGAGAAGATGGCCAGATTCCAGTTACAAAGAAGTTTGGAGGAAGAAAATTATTTGTATCTGTTCCAGTCAGAGTTCAGGGATTTAGTATGGAGTCAGTAATAATTATGCTTGTCAATGACTTTTGATGTTGTTGGGAGGAGATTGTGTTGTTCAATGACCTCTCCTTGATATCTCAGCAGCTTTGGATACTATCAGTCACATGGGGAATGAGAGAATGGGAGCACCATGTCAGATTGGTTCTTCTCTTTCCTTCATGGCAATTTCCAGTTAGTATTGACAGAGGGTTAGAGGCTGCACCCTCAGCCCCTCATATCTCAACTCTGTAATGTTGAAGTGATGTAGTTGATGTCTTGTCTTAATTATTCCAAGATTGAATGGTTGTAGATATTAGGGCCCCTAAATCCTAGGATTCTTTGTCTTTAATCTCTGTCTTTGGAAAGAATTGCACTTCCTCATTCAAATCTGGTGTGAAATCTGAGTGGACACATGGCAAGCAAACACATCTCCACGGAGAATGGATATGATAAACATGTCAAAGACTGAAAAACTGGCAATACACTGATTCTTCAGAAAAGGCTAGTCTTCCTTCCATCTGGACATGGAGAAGATGGGAGAATCTGTGCCTTGAATGGCTACTCTTCCCATGGGTTTCAGTGCTGGAAAATGAAAGGCTCAATCAACAAGCTCATAACCATGGCATAGCCTTTTAAAGGCACTTGGTTCACTAACCTAATCATTTCTAGATATTGCCTATTTAATTATCTTAAAAGTATTGAAGATGTTCAAAAAGATGTTTGAAACTCTGCTAATGAGTTTATCATCACTTCTAAACCAAAGAAAATAACTATATATTTATGAACTTAAAAAGTTGAAATAAATGGCAAAAAGATAAATAAGATTATGATTCAAGAAAGTTATGAATGAATTAAGTATCCAGACAAATTTGGAATATTGAAACTTTTATCTCAAGATTTTGGAAGTAATTATATAAAATTAACAGCTTTTGGGGGGAATCAGAATTATTTTGTCTATTATAGGTTATAACAGAGATTAGAGACTTTATGATTTAAATTATACACTAGAAGGGACTAACATTTTGGGGAAAAGAAGAAGAAAAATCACTGCCTAGAATTGTGATTAGGATTGGGATTTACAAAATTACACCAAAAGAATTATCTGAATAATGTCTTTTAATTGGATTTACAACAGAGGCTTGAAGAAATCTATGCAATGGAATAAAGAATAATGGAAGAGGGATTAAATTTTACAGCAATATTTATTTATTTACTTATTTTATTTGCATTCCACCTCTATAATTTTCACAAATAACTCAAGGCAGTGAATATATCCAACACACCTTCCTACTACTATTTTCCCCATAACAACAACCCTGTGAGGTGAGTTGGGATGAGAGAGAATGACTGATGAACTTTAAAGATTAAAATTTTCAAGTAAGGAATATAAAATTGATTATTTGGTCAAAGTTGAAATAAGGTATGTTTTTATGAGATTCTGCAATGTGTATGGACATTGCTAAAATGGGCAAAGGCTTTCTTTAAAAAAAAACAAGAAATGCAAAAGTATTTGCATTTCTTTTTCAAAAATTTGGTAATGCAACGATCAGTCTCTCCTTTATAATATCCCTTTATCCTCCATCTTTTAGAGCTATTTCTGTTTTTGTTATTTGCTTTGTTTGTTGTATACAGCCCTTTTAGCAGAAAAATAATATGGAGAAGGTAATAAAAATAATTCCAGGGCAAGATCTCCAGTTCAGCAAAAGAATGGAGCTGTCCAGGGTCCTGTAGTTCTAGTCTTTTTGTACAATGCCTGAGGTCAGTAATAAATAGAATCTAATCACTTCATCTGTTGGTATCTCTTTCAGTTGCCTGC